AGGCCCCTCCCCTCCCCGGCCCCAGGAGCCACTGGCTAGTGGTTGGCGCTCGGGAGCCTGGGTGACAGTGAGTCACACTGGGATGGGGAGGACAGGCCTGCCCCACTCTGCAACTGCATGACTGGGTCATCTCTTCCTCTCATGACTAAGCCATCTCCTTTCAGAGGAAGTCGTGAGGAAATACTCAGAAATGCTTCCACCATAGCCATGGGAACTGGGGCATGTCTCAGACACGCACAGGCCCAGTCCTCAGCTCCAGAGGTCACAGCAGAGGAGGCGACTTACCCCAAGTGGGGAAACTGGCCGGGTCTGCAGCCCCCCGCATCCGGGCATCTGCTGGAAGTGCCCAGGACCCTCTCCATGACCCGCTGTGCACAGGCTCCTCCGAGCCCCTGTTCTCATGAGGCCGCACCCTCGCCCCTGTGCTGGCCTGCCTCGCCCACTTTCCAGCAAGAATCCTGCCTAGTCAGTTTAGTGAGGACTCCTCCCCACCCCTAGTAAGTGGCCACCCAGACAGATCCAGTTCCTATCTCCCATCCTGGCCTTATCAGGAACCCCCACTCCTGCTATCTCGGTAACTTTCCATCCACCGACCCCCTCAATCTGCTTGTTGGCTAAAAATCTCCAGCTCTTGGGGCCAGCAGGTGGCATGGAAGTTAAGGAGCTGCATTCCCACACGACTGACTATGACTCAAATCCTGGACCCGGCAGCTTGAAACTCATGCTGAGCACATGTGCATGCATGCCCCAAATCCCAGGAGAATGGAGAAGGGACTGCTGTGTGGCCATCCTCCCAGGGAGTGACTTCTCACTTTCCCTCTCACTGTCTGTCTCTCTCCAGTGAGTGCCCGTGCCGGACGGCAAACAAACAAATCAGAAGAAGACAGCCCTGGCTCTTTGCTGTCTTCAGAACTGTCCTCAGTACTATTCTTCTACTGCAATAATACCGGAAACCATCTGTGGCCCTACCTTTACCTACCTCTGTTTCCCTTAACAGCTGTGGTGGCTCTCCCAGCGACAGGGAGGAGACTCGATGTTAAACCTAGCCAGGCCCTGTGCTGCGTCACAGGTGACTTGGGACAGGTTTTCTTTTCCTTCGGCCATAGGGTGCGTGTGCTCACCAGGGAGAGACAGAGGTGGGAGTCCGGCACCTCAGCCACCATGCTGCCTGCTGGCCCAGGACGCTTTCGAGTTCAGACTCAGCTCACATGCAGGCATGAGATTCTAAGGCCTGGCCCCTCCAGTCATTGGCAAAGCAGGAAAACCCCTTCACGACACAGCCAGAAGACAAGGCAGGCCGTGTGTCCGCCCCCTGCACTCCGTGACTGCCTGAGCCCGTGGTTTGACCTCTCTGGGCCTGGTTCATTCATCGGGGCGGTGGGATGACAGCGCCTGCCCCAGAGGACTGCTGGGGAAGACGGGTGTGCATCCGGCCTAGTGTGATGTGATGGTTTCTCAGCCCGGGGTTTTGGATCCAACAGTCAGAAAACGTGAGTTCCAACCTGCCGTGAACTTGGCCAGGAGCTCTCGACTGTTCTGAGCTCGGTGAGCCGAGAAGCGGGCACGCAGCTGTGGCACTGCGGTGGCCCAGCACGGAGGGCACGTCCCCTGGGTTGCATAGGCACTGCCCCTCAGTGGCCCCCAGCCATCCTTCACCACCCCACAAATACCTGCTGAGTGCATATAACCTCTAGGCATTGTGCCGTTCACGGGGCACCCTTCCTCCCTGGCTCTGCCTCAGCTCGGGGCCCCCAGTGGATACCAGGCATTAACCCCCGGGGCTGAGCGCCAGGGAATGTGCTGATCTAACTATTAGACTTGTCCCTTGCCCTCTGGGAAGCAGACTCCTCCTGCTCCTGGCCAGACCTCTCCTCCCAGAGCGCCAGCTGCCAGGGCCCATTCCTCCTGAACAGGTGTCACATTTGTGCCGGGAGAGGGACGCCCTGATCTCAGGTGACACAGAAAGCCCCACCAAGGGCCTCATATTCTGCCCTCGCCGAGCTGGGCTATCAAATTCGCCATCAGCCGGAATGAGGCCAGCGTCCCTGCTCTGGGCAACGCACACTCTTCAAAGGCCTGAGATTAGCATCTTGCTCTTTGGTGGGAATATGGCAAAAATCCTTTGTGCTCGTCTCAAAGAGCCCTGTGCTAGGTTGGTGCCTCTCTGGGTCTCCTAAGCGTGGCCATCTCCACTGTAGAGATGGGCAACTGCGCAGGAAAGCCATAGGCCCAAGGCCACAAGGTGAGGCCGGTAATCCACACGGAGGGCCAGCGCCTGGAACACAGAGCACAGCACGATGAGGCCTGCGGTTGTCACTACCGGTCACGATGCTGCCGGTCTGCGACCTGCAGCTCATCTCTCCTGGGCCCGGCCTGAGGCTCTTGCCAACGTATCATGTGGCCATCAGGGACACTCACACCAAGGAAGATGGAAGTCCCTTGCTGCTAGGCCCCTCCTAACTCCATCCCAGGGCAGAATGCATCAAAGCACTTTCCATGTAGCAGGTGAGTTCAGACTCAGCTCGCATGTAGGTATGAAGCCCTACAGCCTGCGAACAGAGACCCTGCAGTAACTAGCTGCCTCAGCACAGCAGAGCCGTCGCCCACTCCAGCTGGATCCTCCCAAACCAGCCCAACACGGAGGGACGTACCCAACCGCTATCGAAGGCACACTGAGGCGCATCGGCTCGCCCTACGACAGTCATTCCAGCAGCAGCTACGATTCACTGAGCACTTACGACACAGAGGCACCACGTGGGTCTCACCTCGCGGTGTGAAGGGGCAGGTAATGAGCGTGCAGGTGTGCACACGGCAGTCACGTCAGGGGAATAGCGAGGGGCTCGACACAGCCCCAGGACCTGTCCACACCGCCTGCGTCTATACCGAGGGCGGCTATGATCAGCCCCACTTTGTATTTCTCATACACATGTAGCTGGGTATAGACATCCCAGCCCAGGTAATGATGCATGGACTCCACGTTAAAGGCCGCAAACTTTGGTGCAAAAGGGTTAACTCCCCCCACACACAGCTCTGCATGCACACGCACGCACACACACACAGAGACCTGCTCTCTATCAGAGGACGCCTGGAAGCAACTCAAGAATGCCAACAAGAGAGGTGGGGGGCAGTAACGCCCGCGGGAGAAATAAGAGCGGGGGTGAGGGAGGGCGACTTCCCAAGTTCAGGAGGGAATGACTCGCAAGGGCCCTAGGGGGTGGGGAGGAAGGGCGCCACAGACTCGGGGTGGCTGTGAGTGCCCTTCGAAGGAGCCCCAGGTCTGTGCTGCTCACCAGAGACAAGACCAGAAGAGAAAAG